AAGACATGAGACATCAGACAGGTGGATACATAAAAACTGATAGATGTACAATTTTCACAACTTGACACACAGAATATTCCCAGCCTTTAGCAGAAGAAGAAAGACTCTGGCACAATCTGGCAATGTCTGTTCCGTGGATTGTGGAGGTGCTCTGAGACTCCAGTGAGATCAAAACAAATGCACTTTGCAATACTGTTTGAAGAAGGACAGTAATGTTCTTAGAAAGGATTCCAGAGAGGTTCTTTCTGAGTGCTCATTTGAATTTTTCAATAAACAAGCGAGAAATGGTTTTTAAAGAATTATGTAAAGTATACTATTATTTTTAAAGAAGCAGGAAAAATTTGAAAAGGAAACAATGACCAAATACCACAAGATGGAAAGGAAAACTAGAAAAATATACTCAAGGCCTGAGATTTAGGGGCTAGAGAAACAGCACAGAAGTTAGGCACAGTGGCTGCCCTTCTGGAAGACCGTGGTTTGGTTCCCAAACCTACACAGAAGTTCACAATGGTCTGTAACTCCAGTCCCAGGGATCCAGCATCTACTTCTAGTATTCATGGGTACTGCACACACACACAGTGCACAGACTTACATGCAGACAGAACACCATAAAGATACAAGTTAAAAATTAATAATAAATACATAAGATCTGAGTAACCCTATTAAAATACTATAACCATCCCAATTAAAGATCAAAGATCATCACATTGTATTTAATAGAAACAAGGGATAAACAGATCAAAGACCAAAAATTGTGCTGCCAACAGAAAACAAATGTCAAATCTAAAAACACAGATAAAATGAAAAGGTGGTAAAACTGGAATTGATGTATTATAGTTACTATAATTGCTGCTGTAGTTTTCAGCTGTATTTTACTAAATTCAGACTGTGTGTACAGCTTTTTTATAGTGGTTACACCTCAAGAAAGCTGTAATGTGATGTGTTGTATGTGAAGAATGACAAGAACTCTAAAATCTTTGTAGCAGTGAAAGCCAGCACTTTGTAGATGTTCAACCAACTGAGGATGATTATCAATGCTAGTCTGGTGTTTCAGAGTCTATGCATACTACTAAACTTTACCCACAAAGCACAGTGTAGTGCATATTTAGGCTTGGTACACAAAGAGCCTAAGCTGAGTGTATCATATGTTTATATAATCATTAAAAACATTTGAAATATTCATCTTAGCTTTTGTTTATACAGGATCAGACAGAAGGCCAGATGTGGGCACACAAAAATCATTTTGCATTTTCTGCTGTACAAAGCACAGCACTACAGTCGTATCAGGTGTTTAGAAACACAACTGCAGTGACTTGGGAGAAAATCTGAGCTGGCAGAAAGCAGAGGCAGGCATTCTGAGATTAATGCATCAGGTCCAGACGGAGATTAGAACACAGATCTGTATGATTCTGGATGGAAGCTACAGTGGGTACAATAATTGGATGCAATGAGGATTTAAACTGTAGGTCCATATCTAAATAACTTTTTCCCTAAAAGACCAGCAAAAAAAAGAAAAAAATAACAGAAACAACCACATCAGAAAATTTTAGCTTTCCAACAATATTTCACAGAGTAGGAATATTGACATATACTGGAAGATATTCATTCCTGTGCTGCAGGCAACCGTCAAGCTGTTCTGCTTATTCTCTTCATTGGAAGCAAGAAACACATACCTTATAAGTATAAAAACAGGGTGTTACAGGGAAAGCAAAAAACATATCAGAAAGCCATTACAGAGTGCTCAAGGTATGGATGCTGTTATTTCATTTCAAGCAGAACTACAAACAAAACTTAAACCACCAACTGAAGAGATAGAGACCATTCCTCCCATTGATGCAATTATAGTAATCCTGTGGCAAGTACTGGTGAATCCATTATTCATATCTCATCCAGTTTTCTTAAATTGTTACGAAAGATAAGTATATACTTGAAATATACTAATAATAATAGATAGCAGCAAGGTGATGCTCATCTCTGTCTTGTGACAGTCACCAAGCCTTCAGCTGACAGATATGATACCACAGTTGAAGTAAATTTCTGACACAGTCTGAAGGTACGTTGTCTACATAACATCAGGTTTCCATTGTCTTTAATATTAGAATTATATATATGCAATGTGTGTATGTGTAAACAAACATACATACATATACACAAACATACACATCAAATGGTAAACAGGGAGATATACAAGGACTGAGATAGATGATCAAAATCAATGTGAACAATAATTTCAAATGCAAATTTTTGTTTTATTATCTTTTTTTGTTTTATTTTATGATCTTTTGTTTCATTATATTATTTTGCTTTTTATTTTGGGACTTTATTTTCATTTGCTTTTGATTTTATTTTGAGGGTCTTATGTATCTCAGCCTGGACTTGCTATGTCACAACGGTAATCTTGTGTTTCTGATCATCTTGTCACCATGTCCTAAGTGCTGAGATTACAGGCACAGTTTGGCATCATGGCTGGTTTATATGGCGCCGTGCATGGAAACCTGGGTATATGGCGAAGCACTCTACCCACTGAGATGCATTTAAGCCCCCAGTTTCACTCCTTTCTCTCTCCTGAAAAGTTCATTTTCCTATCTTAGAGCAATCATAAATGCCTTTCAAGATAGCATGTTCATCTTACTTATCATGTAGAACTTCTAAAAGGAAAGGAAAACCACTTTAAACCTAGGATGATAAGTAATGCCATGACCATAGCATAGACTGGGTAGCCATTCATGGTTCTCTGCAGAAAGTCAATTAGGACAGTAGTCTGTCACTGGACAGTTCTACTGAGTGTGTGAATGTAAGCACCTAATACGGACAGGCAATGTGACAACCTGCTCTTGTGAAGCCCACAGACACAAAATAAGTATTTACCATAGGAAATGTGTTGAAATGGCAGTAGATGTGTTGGGGAACTGGATCCATGAGATGGAAAGGACAACTAGGAGTTAGAACAATGAGTAGGACATGGTTTTATATTAAGAACATAGATTTGCCAACCCACAGACTGGCTAACAGCAGACAACAAACAAATACACACATAAAACATGGGGATTGTATTGAAATTAAAGAAGTCCCCTGACAAGTCATTCACATGTATCAAATACTCTTTGAGGGTCTAAAAATGCCTAGCAGTCTTTTAGGCCCTGGAGATGAACTTTAGCAGATGAAACAGACAGAAATCTCTGCTTGATAAAGCACACACTCTAGTGGGAGATGGATTTTATAACTAAATGTGCCAAATGTCAGATGTTGTTAAATCACTTAAAGGCAAAGGAAAGCAATGTGGAATTACATGGTGTGGCAAAGCAGGAATTACAGTTTCCGAAGAGGGATCCTGGAGGCCCTCAGTGAGAGGGTGACATTTAAAGAAGACTGGCCACACAAGGAGAGTGAGCATAAAGGAATCAGGCTGTGTGACAAGTGAAAAAGACGCTTTGGTGGGAAAAATTGTGTGCGCGCATTTTAGAAGCATGGTGGCACATTAGTCATTGACCTTCTAGAAGAGGCATTGTTGTGTAAATTCAAGGTACCAAAGAAAATAAATAAAAGATAACAATGTCTTACCAGACATAAGTTAAAAGTGGTCTACTTTTATATATACTAAGCTATAATTGTAAAATGCGAGTGGCTGATAAACATTGTAAGACATTTCCCTGTGCCTTTAAAATAATATTTAAACATTTGAAATAAGGTGTGCCTACTCAAAATGGAAGGGCCTCAATTACATATGGATTTCTATATAAATTGATCTGTTTGGATTTAAACTTTAATAGATAAAAAATTATTTAACTTAAAGTAGGGTTAATTTAAAAAAATCATTTTTGAAATTATTAAAAGTTGATCCTATACTGAACTATTTTAAATTGTATAATTAAGAAGCAGTTACTTCTTATTCAAAATATCAATACTTGAGTGAATGAGCATCATCTGAGGTTTTGTAACAATGCTATATAGATCAAGTTTAGAAATCATATTCTTTTTAAAGAATATTTTACTTATGACAATGTCAGCAAATTACATATTATTTACACAGTCAGGTACTCTTAATCAGTTATATGCATAACACTAGTGTGTGAGCATGCAAAGAATAGTCTGCTGCCGATATATGCTTCCTGTTAAACTGATAATGATACAGGATGAGTGTGTGTGTGTGTGTGTGTGTGTGTGTGTGTGTGTGTGTGTGTGTGTGTGTTCCTAAGGACTGAATATAATATGGCAGGTAAACGTGCACAATCTTGACACTGAGCTACAATTTACCATTTTTTTCCTTCCCTTTTCACTTTAAGACAAATTTTTTTTTCTTCTAAGTTGTGCAGCTTGGCCTTGAACTACTTCTGTCCTCGAGGCTAGATCTTGAATTTTCAGTTCTCTTACTTTAGCCTCCCAGTAGCTGGGATTAGAGACCTTCTCTAGCAGATTTATCATGTGGAATTAAGAATCTTCTTACTGAGAATTATTCAATCATTTACCATATATATATATATATAATTAAGCTAAACCTTCAAAGCAATACAGTTCTATCATAGACAATAGAATATTAACCTTTAGCATAATACTTAAGGGTGAACCTTAATCAAAATGTAAGTCCTAACGTATTCAAAGTCTGAGGGGTGTCAATGAATTGGCGATACTTTTTGAACAGTCTGACTGACTCAGTGTTATTTAATACTAACTCCTAGAAATTCACAAAACCATCTCTTTTAGGGCCAAGTTTGTGTATCCTCACACATACATATCCCAGTATTGTGTGTAGATATGAAAATGATTGTGTACACATTTGCATGAATGTGTTTACCTTCCAAATTAGCTTACATAATGTTCTAAAATTATAATTGCACTAATAATTGAAGAGTTCATTTTATTTATCAGTATTAGCCTTTATGTTGACCTGGCTGTACGTGGGTGAAATTGAATTCTAAGTTAACTTTTGTTTGATTGAAAACGTACAAAACAGAGGAACTTTGGTGTTAACTCAAAAGAATTTGTTTTTCCTTTTTACACAGCTTGCAGACCAGGATTCTACAAAGCATTTGCTGGGAACACGAAATGTTCCAAATGCCCTCCACACAGTTCGACCTACGTGGAAGCAACTTCTATCTGTCAGTGTGAAAAGGGTTACTTCAGGGCAGAAAAAGACCCACCTTCTATGGCATGTACCAGTAAGTCTACACATTTCCTATTAGAAAATTCTGTTTCTAATCATCTTGTTCTCTGTTTTAAGTTTTTAAGAATAAATAAATGGGCAAAATCCTGTACCAATGAAGGTGTCTTGGATAATAATAAAATGCTCTCCTCACCATAGCTCCTTTTCAAACAGTTGCTAAGAGTGTGAAATATTTCCTTCTTAAGCCTTATATAGATCCTTGCTATCCAAGTACCTACCATATTTTGAGGCAGTGCAAAATTTCCCTGGCTAAAATTTGTCTTGAAGAAATTAAGAACTTACAAGTAAAACTCCTCTTCTTTCTTTTACACAGTTTTAGATCTCTCTCTCTCTCTCTCTCTCTCTCTCTCTCTCTCTCTCTCTCTCTCTC